GTGGTGTGTGTGTGTGTGTGTGTGTGTGTGTGTGTGTGGTGTGTGTGTGTGTGTGTGTGTCCTCTCAGGGAGAAGATGATCTTCCTCATCCTGCAGCTCCTCTTCCTCACCTCCTGTGTCTCTGGTTAGTTTGTCTCTTTAAAGCTGTTATATGTAAAGCAGCACAGGAACATAGCTGCAGTTTAAAGAGTCCCTCTGTGTTCCTCCACAGAAATAGCTGCAGTTTAAAGAGTCCCTCTGTGTCTCCTCCACAGAATAGATGCAGTTTAAAGAGTCCCTCTGTGTCTCCTCCACAGGAACATAGATGCAGTTTAAAGAGTCCCTCTGTGTCTCCTCCACAGAAATATAGCTGCAGTTTAAAGAGTCCCTCTGTGTCTCCTCCACAGAAATATAGCTGCAGTTTAAAGAGTCCCTCTGTGTCTCCTCCACAGAAATATAGCTGCAGTTTAAAGAGTCCCTCTGTGTCTCCTCCACAGGAACATAGCAGCAGTTTAAAGAGTCCCTCTGTGTCTCCTCCACAGAAATATAGCTGCAGTTTAAAGAGTCCCTCTGTGTCTCCTCCACAGGAACATAGCAGCAGTTTAAAGAGTCCCTCTGTGTCTCCTCCACAGAAATATAGCTGCAGTTTAAAGAGTCCCTCTGTGTCTCCTCCACAGGAACATAGATGCAGTTTAAAGAGTCCCTCTGTGTCTCCTCCACAGGAACATAGATGCAGTTTAAAGAGTCCCTCTGTGTCTCCTCCACAGAAATATAGCTGCAGTTTAAAGAGTCCCTCTGTGTCTCCTCCACAGAAATATAGCTGCAGTTTAAAGAGTCCCTCTGTGTCTCCTCCACAGAAATATAGCTGCAGTTTAAAGAGTCCCTCTGTGTCTCCTCCACAGGAACATAGATGCAGTTTAAAGAGTCCCTCTGTGTCTCCTCCACAGGACCATAGCTGCAGTTTACAGAGTCCCTCTGTGTCTCCTCCACAGGAACATAGCTGCAGTTTAAAGAGTCCCTCTGTGTCTCCTCCACAGGAACATAGCTGCAGTTTAAAGAGTCCCTCTGTGTCTCCTCCACAGACATAGCTGCAGTTTAAAGAGTCCCTCGTGTCTCCTCCACAGACATAGCTGCAGTTTAAAGAGTCCCTCTGTGTCTCCTCCACAGGAACATAGCTGCAGTTTAAAGAGTCCCTCTGTGTCTCCTCCACAGAAACATAGCTGCAGTTTAAAGAGTCCCTCTGTCTCCTCCACAGACATATAGCTGCAGTTTAAAGAGTCCCTCTGTGTCTCCTCCACAGAACATAGCTGCAGTTTAAAGAGTCCCTCTGTGTCTCCTCCACAGGAACATTTGTAGTGAATGTGACTCAGACTTCCCATCAGGCAGAGGAGAACCAGAACATCACCCTGGAGTGGACCTTCAGCTCCAGAACAGACACTAACTTCAGATCCATTTCTATCTACTGTGAGATGTTACTGAGAGCAGACCCTACGTCCTGTTTCATCTATACAAAGGTGATGAACTCCCAGAGTCTCAGGATCCACAGTTTGCAGGACGAGTCCAGTGGGACAAAGACGTCCTCACAGAAGGACGCCTCACACTTCATGTCTCCAGACTCAGGACCAGTGACTCTGGGTTTTATGTGTGCCATACGCACACCTGATGGGAGTAACTATGCTGGCTCGACGTCACTGGTGAGTAACCTCAAGTGCTGTATTTAAATTAAAACTTCACTTTTTAAATATGCAGATGGTAGCTCTATGTGAAATGGTAAATAAACATGCAAGGTCATTAAAAGATTGTAAAATGTTATGAAAAGAGGCTTTCTCCATGTCCACATGATGTTACTAACTGTATTTTCCACAGCTGCTCCTCAACCAGAGAGCTGGAGAAACAACTGGATCAACGTTAGACTGACACTGCTTTATTTCTTTGCTGTTGTTTTTGTTTCTTTTGTTTCTTTTTCTAATTATTGCTTTTGTAATTTTTTCAATTCTTCTTTTGTTTCTATTTGTGTTTGTTTTCTTGTTCCTATTTTTGTTTCTTCTTTTTGTACTGCATTATTTTGTATGCATAGACATGACACTTAATAAACAAAACAGTAAAAAGAAAGTAAGAAGAATAGAAAATAGAAACACAGCCCAAATGATATTCAAGTGTCCTCATCCTCCATCATGTTGTAGACCAGTATGCTCCAGGAAGTCCTACAAGGTTTTCCAGCTAGTTTGTTTTGAAGGAAAACACGTATCCTTTCAAGAGCAAGGTAGAAAGTCCTCCCTTTCAGCCGTTGAGGAAATCCACAGGTTGATGGTTCCTTCCATGTGTGATTTTTACACTCAGAGCAGAACAAAATAACATCATCCGCGTACAAAGCTATTCTGTTTTCTACACCTCCTATATTTATTCCCGTTATAATGGCGTGTTTACGGATTGCCATCGCTAGTGGCTCAATGGCCGGTGTGAATAGGAGAGGAGAGAGGGGACTGCCTTGTTCCTCGCTTGAGTTTAACGGGAGATGACACAAGTCCATTTGTTAGGATGTCAGCTTGTGGGTTGGAGTATAGGAGTCGTACGCAACTTAAAAATCTACCCCCAGTACAATTCCAGTCAAAGATCGTCTGTTTTATTTTCAAGAGACACATTTTTTTGTATTTTTTTAAGACTGAATTTTCTGAGTGAATTTGATTGTTAAACCAAAACAAAAACTAAGCACTTGATGATTTAATGTAGGACTTGTATCTGATTCACCAGCACTTCCTATGGTATGTTCTGGCTTGAAGTGAATATATCTGCTCCTTCCTTGTTGTTTGGAGTTTGATTCTTTATGGTTTTTGCACTTATTGGAAGTCGCTTTGGAAAAAAGCATCAGCTAAATTATATGAAATGTATGTACATATTAAGCTGGCTCTTTTCTGCTGTAACAATGTACATTTCCCCTCTGTGGGACGAATAAAGGGATTCTGGTTCTGATTCTGGTTCTGATAATATTCATTTTTAGTTGAAAATACTAATGTTACGTTTGCTATGAGTGTGTGTGTGTGTGTGTGTGTGTGTGTGTGTGTGTGTGTGTGGTGTGTGTGTGTGTATGTGTATGTGTGTGTGTGTGTGTGTGTGTGTGTGTGTGTGTGTGTGTGTGTGTGTGTGTGTGTGTGTGTGTGTGTGTGTGTGTGTGTGTATGTCTAACATTTCTCCTTCTCCGTGGACATCCTCCCATCATGCCATGCTTCTCTGGTGCTCCTGAGGGCCTTCGTCCTTTTGGGGTCCACCACCACGTAGTCCACACGTGCACGCCCGCCTCGTGCACACCCGCCTCGTGCACACCCGCCTCGTGCACGCTCCTCACCGGACACAGACTGATCGCTGCCTCCTTCAGCCGTGCAGCGTTTCTGGTTATAATCATTACAATAAAATGTGTTGATGCAAACTGTTAAAACATGGTAGGATATGATAGTTTATTGTCCCTGATGAATAAACTAATAATACATAATTAAACATATTTTAAATAATATTATTTGAATTAATTTGAAGTAAACAATTACTGCAAAATAAATATAAAAGTAAATTGATAAATAAAATAAATAATATAAAGGTAAATAAATAATATAAAAGTCAATAAATAATATAAAAGTAAATAAATACAATAGTGATTTATTTGTATAAATAATATTTTATTTAATATTGATATTTATTTAAAAAATAAACAATGAATACAAAAATAAAAAATACAGTTCTATTTATTTTTTAATTATATTTTAATTAATATAAATGTTGGTCCCACAGCAGGGACATTTGCAGTGTTGCTGCAGTAATTAAACAGTAAAGCTAAATATACTGTCATAGCAGACACACTTAAAGGTGGGTTAGGTAAGTTTGAGAAACCGGCTCGAGATACACTTTTTGTTATATTCCATGGAATGCTCTTAACATCCCGATAGCAATGAATATCTGAAGTGCTTTGACAACAAATCCATAAAAAAATATCATCTGTGGAAGCCGTAATACTGTAAAAAGCACGACCAATCATTTTAGCCGGCCCGGCTAAAATAACTGGATGGCCTACCTGCCTGTCAGCCTTCCATCGGGGCACAAACTTATCTCGTGCCCTCATTGGTCATGTGTGCGTTCGTGTGTGTTGGAGGAGGGGCTCTATAAGGAAGTGGCTGATTTTTTCCGGCTGTGTATTTTCAAATTCTAGCGATCTCTAGCTGGTTTCTCAAACTTACCTACCCCACCTTTAATGGTTAAAAACAATAATAAAAACAATAGTAAAGTACATAAAATAAAGAAAGCGTTTTATCTATAAGAGAGTATTGACATGGCGCCCTCTGGTGGTTAAACTAAACCACACCAGATGATAATAACTTACTTTATTCACTGATAACTGGAAAATAAACTAAAACAAAGCATTAAATATCATATTGCTGCTCAGTATAATAACAGATTATAATTTAAACATTATTTAGGTGTTTATTTCCCACCTGTCGGGCTGCACAGGCTCTGCCGGTGTTCAGGTCCAGGTCCACCTGTTTGTCTCCTCCGGCTCTCCGTAGAACCGAACTGCTGCTCAACCCCCCCCCCCCCCCCCCCAGAGGCCCGGTGCAGCATCAGCCTCAGAGTCACACATGCACATGCCCATGCACATGCACATGCACACTGACACACACACACACACACACACACACACACACACACACACACACACACACATACACACACACACACACACACACACACACACACACACACACACACACACACACACACACACACACACACACACACACACACACACACCACACACACACACAGACCTGCTTTTTCCAGTAGTTTGGGGTAAACATTGATTATATACTTCCAGGTCTTCCCCTGTGCTTCTGTTGTTTTTGTTTATTTCGGATACAGGGCCCCAAAACACTTAGGCGCTGGGCCATTATAAGCTATGGCCCATGAAACACTTAATATAATTTGGTAATAAGTCAGAGAGAAAATGCTCAGTAGGTTTGTGTTGGTGTGCAAGAAAAGCACAGAGTAACATTTAGAAGTGGCTGAGCGGTGTTCAAGTGAGCACTGACCCACTACGAGAACTGTAAGTGTCTGTCTGTAAGATTGTGCTAACTTTGTCTAAAAGTTGGTTAATGTGCATCATGTGCAGACCAATGGACTCCAAGTAGTTTGTGAACAAAAGTATTAACAGGGAGAGGGAGCAGACAGAAGAAAAATAACACTTCAGTTTTTACATTTTACATATTTATTAATTTAGTTTTATTAATCATATATGGAGCACAACACATAAGAAAATAGACAACCTATTTCTATTATATCATATTTTGTATTAAAAGGGAATCATAACAATGTGAAATTATTTAGATTTTCAAAGCATTTTCCCACAAATGTCAGACTTAATAAGTTGTGATATAATTGAACCCCGGTAAAAGTAATTGTACATATTCAAAGGTGTAGAGATACAAATAAAGAGAATAGTATAAGACATTGCAGGCTTTCAAGTCATGTGACTTTTTGTATGTATCTGTGTAACACAGATGACCCAAAATGCAGCCAAGTACAAAGCAATTACTGACGAGAGCAAATGAAAACTCTGATACCTTTAACCCTGATGATTCATTATTGAGAGCCACTGCTGACTCACTCATTTCTAGTTGTGGCTAACTCGCACCTTGATGACAGGTTGGTAAGCATCTGACATTGTTGCCATGATGGTTATGTGATCCCCCACATAAGTGAGACAGGAGCCATCCGGTATACGTCTCCTAAACGTGATTTGTTCGTCATAGTACATCTGATTATAAAGAGCCTCATCACACGGTGTGCTCACATCAAAAACTCCCAATGCGTACCAGTTTTTGTACTTGTTGAAATCCCAGGGCACAGAAAACATGATAGCTATTTTCTCAGCTGCCTGTTTTCCATCCTTGTTCAGATCGTAGGCAAAGACGCCAACAGATCCTGCATTTTTGGATGGACTCTTGGTGAACAGTCCAATCCCACAGGCTCCAGGGGCAACAGTCGGTGGTAAAGGTGTAGCACAGTATCCACTGAAAGTGTACATCCTGTTCATGGGGGGGGGCAGAACAACTTTGATTATCAGAGAATATTTAAGGAGAACTTATTTACTTGATGAAAGATTTCAGACACCTTGGGTTGTCAAATGTGTAGCCACATTCATTCACAATCTCAATGCTGCACGTTCGATCAGAAACGTTTTCTCCAGCTCCGAACACTGCACCAGCAGCCTTGACTGCCGCAGTCGCCTCCATGATGGCTGTGCAAGACCAGTTCAGACACACAGAGCACAAAACAGTCACATTCTGATTTCATTTTCATTTCATTTGACAGGCAGTACCCTGTAAAAGCTGACCACTTCAAAATATCCCTTTAAAAGATGTGTTGTTGTTAAACATCTCTTGATCCATACCCTTAAAATGAGAGATTATTGTAACGTTAGACTCTGCACAGCTCTCCCGTACACCATCAGCCAGATTAAGTGATGGATGTTATATTAAAACCTTTTCAGGTCCAGGAACAGATTTCATTTGAATTACACAAACGGTGAAAAAACATAGCATCATAGCAAACGGTGTATGTTGTGTTTCGTGTATCATATATCTGCCTCTGAAATAGCTTTAAATCCACCTTGGCCATGACTTTGACACATGCTTTGCCTGGATGTATAAATGCTTTGGTGCTTAGGCATGTGAATGTACAGCATGAAGTGAAGTGCCACATCACATACTTGTTTGTGGGTGTAAATATCGAAATAGCAAAAAACAACTGTTCACACCCATGTGCAACTATACAGAGCTTTTTCAATACAAAACTATGAGTTATGGATTATATTAACATTAACACAAACAAGTGCCCTCACTCTTACCGATACACCGAGGGTGACATGACTCCAAGCACCAAGCAACATGAAGTTAACCAGAGGATGATTTAGAATATATTTATATGACCTGAAGTAATACATTACATTGAACATTTTACATATATATATGTGTATTTTTTTATTAAGAGTTAATAAGTAGGTGTGTTTTAAAATGCTAGATTTTAGAGCAGAGTGTTAGGAACGTGACACATGCTTGAACTCAAATGCACGACTTAGGACAAGATTACAAAATGAAAAAAGTATTTACTTCAAGAAGAAACAAAGTACAACAAAAATCAGTCTAATAGGCAATACGTAGTAAAAGCAAACTACAAAAACATAGAACTAAGTCAACTTGGCTGAGGGAAAATGCTACATACAGTTGGTTCTTGGCTTGGATCGCTGCTTCTTGCCGACACGAGAGAGACAAGGCCTATCTGCAAGAGTTAAGGGGACACAGGTAGCAACTATCAACAAGGGAAAGGTAAGTTCAAAATAAAACAGGGAGTGCAATGACAGACAGTGCAAGACGAGACTAGACTTGAGTGACTGTAATTGAAGTGAACAATGAGACATGTTGACTAAACATAAACCTAAATCTAAACATCTACTATAAACTAAAAACGAATCATATAATATAAACCTGATAAATAAATCAACAAACATGACAGGGTGTTCCACAGAGTTCTGCTCCTGCCAGAGGAGTGTGTTCTTACCTGGTCTGGTGGGTGATCAGCAGCTGTGTGCAGGAGGCAGACTGCTGCTGCTTTATAAAGAACATGGAGACGTGTGACTGCTTTTGGTGGGTGGGCCTACCTGAGAAGTGAAGTGATTTTCAGAAAGCAACGCCTGCTGCTGGTTCTATAGGAATGTCCTTTATGCTGGGGACATGTCCCCACTACTTTAAAAAAAAGTATATTTAGCTAAAAGTGTTCTGAAAAATAGCATGAACAAAATAAATTGTTCTCATGTAATACATAAGAACAATTTACAATCTCGAGAACAGTTTGCCCGTTCACACTTGGTGGGTGTATTTCTGGGAACACAGGTCCATTTGGACATTCAACATATTTAATCAAATCAAATCAAATCAAGGTTTATTTATAAAGCACATTTAAAAGCGATTTTTGGTCGGGCCAAAGTGCTGTACATGTAATAACTACAATCACATAAAAACACATTTCTATAATCACAATAAAAGACAATAAATAAAACATAGGGAAAAGTCAGGAGTCGTGCTCCGCTCTGACTAGAAGGCCAGAGAGAAGAAGTGTGTCTTAAGAGTAGATTTAAAAACCCCTAGGGTCTGGGCCGACCTCACATGGAGGGGCAGAGTGTTCCAGAGCCTAGGGCCAGCTGCTGCGAAGGCTCGGTGCCCTCTGGTTTTGAGCCTGGTCTTGGGCACTACCAGCAGCAGCTGGTCAGCAGACCTTAAAGCTCTGGCTGAGGTGTAGCGCTGGAGGAGTTCAGCTATATAGGCCGGAGCCAGCCCATTTAGTGCTTTAAAAACAAATAAAAGGAGTTTAAAATCAATTCTGAACCGAACTGGAAGCCAGTGCAGTGAGGCCAGAATTGGGGTGATGTAGTCACGCTTTTTGTGGCCAGTCAGCAAACGTGCAGCTGCGTTCTGGACTAGCTGCAGGCGTTTAATTGACGCCTGGTCCATACCCACATACAGAGCGTTGCAGTAGTCCAACCTCGAGGTAACAAAGGCATTAATAACCCTTTCCAGGTCCTCAAATGATAAAAACGACTTAGTCTTGGCCAATAGTCGTATTTAAAAAAAGCAGGTTTTGACTACGGTGCTGACCTGCTTATCGAATTTAAAAGCGCAATGAAGGTCACTCCAAGGTTCGTGACAGAGGGGAGGATATTATTTTTGAGGGAGCCCAGAATATCAACCTGGGAGGCTAGAGGTTGGGGTCCAAAAAAGATAACCTCAGTCTTGCTCTCATTGAGGTTGAGGACATTTTGGCTCAGCCAGGATTTGATCTCTGCTAAGCAGTCCATCAACTGCTGTAGTGAGTGTTTGACATTTTAATTGAGTGGCAGATAGATCTGTACATCGTCGGCGTAGCAGTGGAAGGGGATGTTGTGTTTTGTGAGAATTGAACCTAGGGGCAGGGGGTAATATTAGTAAGCTTTGAATCGAAAACAGTTAAGCAAACAACACCCCCCGTTTTGCAGCAGCATGGCCGAGGCACTGCATTAGTCAATACAACGTACGTAAGCTAAACAGAATTCCCACTGGCCCATTGCTTCTGATTCTAGAATAAGAAAAAAGGAACGCAAATACAAAGAAGTAAATACAATATTTGACAGTATTACACTATTTAAAAAATATATAAACATGAATAAATAGAAGAATGAATATGTAGATAAATGTAAAATACAAAGATAAATAAATACAATTATGAATTAATTAGTGAAATATTTAAAAATATAAAGACAAAGAACAGAACGCAAATTGAGCATTTTGAGCATTTTATTTTTCATATGTATTTGTTGAGTTTTTTTCTGTGTATCTATATCATCACATGACTATGTTTTAGCTTAACTTAACTGTAATATGTTCTTTCTACATTTCAAACCCCACTTACTCTAGTCTCTGTTAAAAAATCCACATTACAAAATGGTTTCATCATCACAGGTCAACTTCTTTGGTATTCCCCTTCTGGACTTACATCTCTCACAGAAGCCCCTTGGCCACTGCTTCTGCATCTGTGTTACCTGTTATAACTCAATCACTATTTAGAAACATGTCAACATTCATCAAACAGTATCTTATCCCCGGACATGGAGCAGGTTCATTCTAAAACCATCATTCAATGCTCAGTTTGAACATCTGGGTTGGGGCGGAAGGTTTCTTTCAATCCCTAAATGAAAAATTGAAATTGTGAATTTGACAGCCATGTTGACATTATACATTATACACACTCCCCCTTTTTACACATAAACCCATGTGTAACAACATCCTGTACGGGAAGAAAACCTTTCAGGTAAGCATTGGTAATAGGAGCATTCCAAACATTATTTACAAATGGACATCCATTATTTTTCCACTGTAAACACTCCAGTGAAAATAAGTGTTTCTCTCCATCTTTCAGGCCTAAAAGAAACAGAATCTTCAGATTTTAGCCCCAGAATAATGTGTAAAGCTTTAAAAACATGTAAAGCGTCCAAAATCATAAAAAAATATAAGAAAGAAATATAACTCAAAGCAAAGTGCCGCTGAGACACCCGTCAACGAATCTTACGCATGGGTAAAAATAAAGGTCCGAGCAAAAGTCGTTTTTGTGCAATTTATTATTTTGCTGGCACAATATACAAGCACAATATTTTATTTTCTGTGTTCATTCTTACCCGATGGTAAAAAAAACATAGGCCTACCGGGTGCACTCTCCACCACCACCTGTTTCCCAGATTTATAATGACCAGGTCTCCCCTTCGCCGGGGCCCAAAGGCTGCCTTTACAAAACAAAGGCATTGAACAACTTATTTGATAAACTTAAAGGGGACCTATCATGCAAAATGCACTTGTGTACGTCTTTTATACATGAATATGTGTCCCCGGTGTTCCAGGGAACTCACCAAGTGTCAGAAAACACAACCCTCTCTATTTTCCTCCATACCCAAATCTCTAAAAAAGGGGCTGCAACGGATCTGATAAAAACTGATCCAGATTTGAACACTGTCCTGACGTCAGGACGGTGGCGCTACGGTTATTGGGCCAACTCCACCAATCAGGAGGAGACAGCCACGGCCATTGCCGTTCGAAAGCGCTGGAGACACTGTAGTACATATGCCAGGCCTGTAGGTGGTGCTGTTCTCAAAGAATCTGCCCTTGCACAAACAGAGCTAGAAATTCGAATTGCTTACTGACAGATTTGAAGATCAATGTGGTTACACTGAACTTATTCTTAACATAAATGGCAACTCCACCACCTTTATTAGGCCGGTCGGTACGATACACATTATAACCATTTAAGGATATGTCAGAGGCCAAAATAGTTTTATTTAGCCATGTTTCTGATAACACAATGACGTCAGCGTCAGTCGAGCTTGCCCAAATGCGGACAAAATCTAGTTTACCTAACAGACTGCGCACATTCAAGTGGATGAAACCCAACCCACATCTAGCTTTAAAATCAGCAGGAGTAGCGATCTGACTACTACTACTGGGCGGACCAGGGTTAGGTTGAACATTTCCTGACAGTAATAACAACAAAAAAAACAGGCATCTTTTCCTCTTAATCGACACACACACATTGTCATCTACTTTAGAATCACCGGAAAAGTCTGCGAGAGTGTGATTTGAGCTTAAGAAGCAGTCCTGAAGTACCATCATCGCAGGCAAACAAAAAAGACAAACATATTTTGTCGAGCAGATTGTCTGCGACAAGGTGACCGGTAACTGTTTGTGTAACACATCCGACCCTTTGCAGGGGATGCCTACTGCGGGTGGCAGAACAGACCTGAATCCAGTAGGCTTCTCAGGATGACTAGAGATCTTCTCATAGTCCAGAACAGTTAACAGGCACAGCAGAATCACGATATGGGCCATCCTCCCAGACCAGCACACAATATCCGCGATGTTCCCGGGGCAAAAATCCTCCTCCTCACAGCAGCAAAGGACAGGCGAAAGCAGCAGCGAGGAAGCGCACCGGTCTCTCCGTGGTATCCCCGGGGTAAAAGGTCTCCTCAGCAAGCAGCACACGACACTGGAACACACGACAGGTGGGAGCAGGCCTCCGTAACAGCAGAACCAGGACAGGTGGAGAGCAGGCCCCAGCCGCGGCAAATCCTCCTCCGCACAGCAGCACACGCCCGGTGAAAGCAGGCCCCAGCCCGAAACGTGGAGCCACTCTACATGTGGGAGCAGGCCTCCGCAGATCTTAGATGACCTGATTGTGGTTTCAGTAGTGTGTAGGGTGTGAGAGTAATTCACAGATATTGCCCTAATGCTGCCGCTTATTCATGCAACGAACATCGTCGAGAAAGTCTAAAGACAATGTCGTGGCAAATACTACTGTATAGAAAAAGGCACCTAAATCACATCAAAACGTTTGAAAGTGCATATGGATGCACGGACAAGCGCTGAAAACTTGCATCCGAATCTGAATGAATAAACTGAAGTTGAACTCCCAGAGAGATCATGTCGAGCCTCTCTGAATATTAGAGGAAAAGATAAGATAAGATAAGATAAGATGGTACTTTATTGATCCCAATTTTACAGCAGCATAAGAAGACAAGGCAATGTACAATACAATAAAAATGCAAAGACTAGAAATAATTAAGAAAGTAGAAAATATTCATGTTGAATTTAACAAGGTATTACAAATATATATACATAAATATATGACAGAAGGAATATTATATAACAGATTATATAAATGTAAAATGTACAATGTATCAAACGTTATACAGAACAACGGTTCTGCTAACTAAATCGATCGGCATGTGGGGGATGCATCACACAGAAACGTTGGTTATTTTGTATATTCCCCAAGGACACGTCATCATGACTGAAGGTGTTGGGATCCAACCCACAATAATGAACTGCAAGAGAACAGGTTCATATTAAAGTGCCTGGCAATTCTGTTAAACCCTAACCATCTTAACGTCAGAACAGCTCATTCCGAAACTGTTTTTTACATTTTCCAATAAAAACTTAATTGGATCAGTGTCAGGAGTTTCCCATCATGCACCATTGTCAGTGGAGACAAGCTGCAGCCTTTAATAAGTGACTTCAATATAAAGCCTGAGGGATTTAAGTATAATGAAGTATTGAATGATATCCCCACAGTG